TTGAATGTTGTTACTTTGTTCTTCTTCTTGATATCTGACAAATCCCACCCTTTACCGAGATCTTTACCTTTTTTTTAACTCTAGAAGAAGTCCTGGCTTCTGGTTTCATAATTAGCCTCTACATAGGCAAATCAGAATCAAATTCCATGTTGCTCGCAAGTGCGAATTGAATGAATGTTGCAGTGCAGATGTGCCCCTTTCATCCACTGAAATCTGGCCCAGAGAGAGACAGAGACATGCAGGGAGAAAATGAGGGTTAGAGACAGAATATGTAACCGGAGTTTCATTTGTCTTTCTCATGACAGTGGGAGGATTACCAGGAACTAATTGGACAGATTAACTTGGATTTAGCTGCATCTCCTGTCAACCTTTTCTGCCCCCCCCCTCCTATTCTCTCCCCTTTCCTTACCTCTTTTCTTCTCAGCTTTTCTTTAAGCTTCTTTCTCCTGCTCTATGGTCTTTTTACTGTAAATTTCTTGGCAGGGAGACAGAGTCCCCTCCCCATCCCCCACCCTTAGCACACTTCTATTTCATTTAGTTTCATTTCCTTTCCTTTTGTTTTCCATTTAATTCCAACCTCTGGATTCTGCTGATATGAAGCTTGCCGTCCTTGGTGTTATTGTTGGTGTTTATTGGTATTGTTGTTGTTTTCAAAGCTCCATCTGTGGAGAACAAAGCCTTTTAGTTCCAACATGAATCCAGCCGTTTGTCTGTCTACCGGAGGAGGGGAAAGGGACAAGGCAGCCTCTGTGGTTTACCGTTGGACCTGGTCCCGCTTGACTCTGGCCACCTTCCAAACTAGTTATCGTCTCTCCCCGTTCCTCCTCTCGGCCTCTCTCTTTCCCTCTCTCATCTTTCTCTCACATTTCTCTCTCTGCCCCCGTTATCTGTCCCTTGCTCCCTCCAGCTTCTGTTTCATTTTTCTACACATTGCTTTGCTTTCACACTCTTCTTTACTCATTTTCTTTGCTACTCTCTTTGCCCTCCTATCGTTCTTTCCTCTATTTGTCCATATTCTTTCGTTGTCTCTCCTCCTACCATGCTTGATACCATCTTTCAGTACCTACAATAAATAGACAGATAAGCAGCAAAGCATTACAGGCCAGGAGGGGAATGAGGTTTTGAAATGCAGGTTCAAAGTGTGTGTGTTTGTGTGTGTGTGACAGGCAGCTAGTCATATATTTTGTTTTAATTCCATGTTGAAGACCGTCTCACTGTGAAGCAGTGTAAGCATCAAGAGACCCTGAAATCAATACTATTTATTACACTGCCCTAACTCTGTGTGTGTGTGTGCGTGCGTGTGTGTGTGTGTGTGTGTCCTAATAGCCAGGTTTATGGTGAGGATCACACGTATTGATTTAAACCGGGAGACAGACAGAGAGGAAGAGACCAAGACAAGTCAGGAAGAGACAGCAATAGAGGGAGAGACAGGCAGAAAAAGCAATAGGTCTCCCTCTCACTCTATTTAAATGTCAACCATCCAATAATAGGTTGAAGCAAAAATGAAATGCTCTGACCCCTCAGCTATTAACACATGCACACACACAGTTGAGCAATAATATTTGCTCAGCAGACAATAACCTGCCTGAGTGTCTTCACAACCTTCCTTCCTCTCTGTCTTTTTCGTTTCCTTCTTGTTTTCTCTCATATGTCTATATGTGTGTTTATTAGTGAGATATTTACATCTAAATTACTTAACAAACCTCAACATGTTTGTATTTTTGCTCACAGCTCTGTGTGTGTGTGAGTGCATATGAGAGTTGTGTTTGCCCTTGACGGTGCATTCTTATTATGAGAAGTTTTATTGAGACGAGCACATATACACACACACATAAACACACACCTATTCATGCTCTGCCCAGATTTAATCTTGATTCTGTCACAACCTGAAGCGTGTGTGTGTGTGTGTGTGTGTGTGTGTGTGTGTATTTAGGTAATAACCCAGTGTTAGTGTGCCCGTGCCTGTGAGTTTCTGTGCATGTGAGTGACAGGCAGATAATGGGTTGTCAGAAGAAGCGACAAGTTTGTGTCCTTGTGTTGTCTTCTCTGAGAGAGGAAGACCCAGAGAAAAACAGAGAGCAAGACAAGGGATGGGCTGGGAAGAGACTTGCCTCTCTATTTAAGGTGAGCTGTTTTTATTAAAAAAGCCTGGAAGGACATAAGGAAGCAGGTGGGTTACAGCGGGACAGAGTTTGAATAGGGAGGGACATCAACAGGTGATAGAATGACAATCACTTTGAATGAAGACAGTTTATGACAAGGAACAATAAACCTTTAATTAACTTTGTTCTGGTTGCCCTGTAATACATTTAATTTCAGTCTGGGGATGTCCACAGCCAATCTGAACGATCAGCATCAGAGTTAATCAAGGCTTATTTGGTACTGCCTGTATTGAGCCTGATCAAACAGATTTTTTTTTATCACGAAAACCTGCTGCGTTATCAGCTGTCAAAAAAATCTAATTGTCTACATTTAACTGGAAAAAAGGTCTTTACTAAACCTTTCATCACCTTGGCTTGTGTTGTCTTCACTACAGTGGTGGATTGGATGTACATTAATTCAAATGTTGTACACATTATCTGAGAATTTCACTTTATACTCTCAGAGGGTATTATTGTACATTTTACTTCACTTCTGTCTGACAGCTATAGTGACTAGTTACTGTTGCAGATCAAAATTGTACTCAAAAAATATCACCAGTTTATGAATTATGATGCAGTGGTACAGATTAAACTACCTAACAATATATAAATTTGGTAAAGTTAGCTCCACCTCAACTGACTACGCCATTACTGGAAAATGCTACTTACAAATTCATATTCTGGTATTCATAATATGATATATGATATTATAACACTATAACACTTTTATAATTTATAATACTTTTACTTTTGATACTTGATGTGTATTTGTACTTATAAAACAGGTGGCTCAAATCAAGCAATGTGATTGGTTCATAGAAGTGGTATAATGAGTGTAAACAGCGGCTATGACGTCGATTTGTTTTGCACAGATCCAGATCACTCCGCGACAAACAGGGTTTGAGTTATAATCTGAGCTTCGTGGGGGTCTCTATCTGTCCATTGCATTGTAATACTATGTGTAAATGGGGTGGAATATACTAACTAAAGTTACCGTAGGAGATAAATAAACAAATAATAAGGAGAGAGAGAGAGAAAGAAATCATTGCTTATTATGTGATTCAACATTTCCCTCTCTCACACGCACAAAAACGCACAAACATACACACAGCAGTCCACTACTTGCCCCGCATGTCTGATATTGCAACAAAGTTTAAGTTTCAATAGCATGAAAAATGCATTCAAAGACTATTGCTCAAGGAGAGACACAATTCCACCCTTTATGGTAGGTATAATATTTAAGTGTTATTATTTTATGCACTGCTGGCCGCCAGCACACAGTAGCAAGCATATTATCATATGGCCAAGTTCAAGTTACCAAAGTCGCTGGACAGTTTTTAGTGGCTGCACGATAAACGGCAACACGCAAATAAATATAAATAAATAGCTCTAATAATTCCAGCCTTTGATGTATGTTGCTTAGCAACCATCATGCGCTTTGTAGCCCACCGGCCGGCAGCCTGGTGGTTCTGCTTTTTGTATTCATAAAGAAATGTCTGTTCACGAGCAAAGTCAAATTGTAGTGCATCTTTTAGCCTACTTTTTTTTTTGCCATACTTGGTAACCGTTTTATAAAAGCAATAGCCCACAACAGGCCATGATATACTCTTATTATTCACATGAACAATGCCCCTTAACTGTGATCAGCTATTGCTTAAAAAGTTAAAGTTAAACTACTTCTCTAGCAAAAATATGCATTACATTATCAGACACAGCCAATTGTTTAGTCGTCATTCAGTATCTCTGAAAAGACTACACATAGTAGCTCCAAACTAGTAGTTCCAGTTTTGAGAAGATGCGTAGCTGCTAGCTATGTAACTGCAGCTATCTATAACCCTGAGGCAGTTGTACAGATCACGCTGTAACCCATGTAGATCAAGTAGTGACTGCTGTGTGAGTGGTAGACAGTGATGTTTCTTCTAGAGTAACAGCAACCTTCTTGCCTTGAGTTGTATCAGCTCTTGTTAGAGAGGTAATTTCTTCCCTAGAGAAATGACTCTTCTACAACAATTTGTAGCTGCTTAAGATTATAGCTTTCCTACAGAAAACGGCAGCTTCTCCAGGTAGATAGGTAACCACTGCATCTTGAGCAGTAGAGTTGCTCTTCTATGTGAGGTGGTCTGCCATTACTGTTTAATGGCTGGGGAAGCACAAGTTGGTGAACATTCATGAGAATGTAGTGCCTGAAATATAATGGACTGAAATGAGAAGGCAGAAAGCAGATAAGGACATGTTTAGTTTTGTGTTTGCGGTCTTGTCTGTGTGGAGGTGGGTGGGGTCTAGGGGGTTATTGATCCAGTTAAATGAGCCAGTTAAGGTAATTAAAGCCCTGGGCAGGCTGGAGAGAAGGTAGATTATATTGACAATAATAGTTCTGAATACACATAAAAAATGGAAACCAAAGACGTGTCTTGTAGAAGTTATTGCATTTGAGAAATGGTTAAATAGCAGTGAGGAACAGAAACAGATGTTCGTAAAAACCCTTTTGTTTCATCTTGGGGAAAATGTTGACTCAGCACTCTAGCTATTGCTCTTTTTTTTCTTTCTTTCTTTCTTGGCAGCGCACGTACATTTGCCTCTTACACACAGTGCACCGGAATTGTAAACCCCAGAAATGCTGTAATTCGGAGTTCACCAAAGTAATACTGTATCTCATCCAAATAGTGATTATTTGTTTTATTTTAATGGCATATTTATTATCAGAATGCTACAGTCTAACACAGTGCATATGGCAGCAATCTGTTGAGTTACTCATGAAAACTCATGAGATTGTCACAATGGGGCATACAAAGTCAGAAATCATCTCCTCATCATTTTGGTTTACCTTCTTTCCCTGTGTTCTCCTCTGTTTCTCTGTAGAACCTATGCGGACTCCTAAGAGGCTAAAGATTGCTGAAACCAGGTCTCGTCTGATAGCGGTGGACTGGGAATCGTTGGGTTACAACATCACTCGCTGTCACACCTTTAACGTCACCATCTGCTACCATTATATGACTGCCAACAACCGTAGCAAAGCTGACTGCTTGGACATGGACCCCAAAGGTAAAACTCAGTTTAACTATTATTATAGGCTTTATTACTGTTACTTATACTGCTGTTTTACTGTAATTGAATACTGTAGCCATAAATGCATTTAAAAAGTTATAGATTATTGTTTTTTGATGATTGTTTTTCCTTCTCTTTTTTTCTCCTTAGCACCACGCCACCTGGTGGGGAACCTGCCACCCTACACCAATGTCAGTCTGAAGATGATTCTGACTAATCCCGAGGGACGTAAAGAAAGTGATGAGACCATCATACAAACTGACGAAGATGGTGCGATACACAAATCACACTTTATCTTGTATCTATGTATTTATTTTCTAATTATAAAAAAATATGTGTTCTTATTTGAATATAGTTTGTATGTTAGCTTTAAAAATAAGGGTTAAAGTAAAAAAGTTAATTCTATTTACAGCTACTTTGACAGTTTAGGTGCTGGGAAGTACTACAAATTAAAAAGCCCAAAAACAGATCACGACTAGTGCTGTTCTGAATAAACAAGGCATATCACATCCTACCTTTGTTGCTGATATTTTTGGGAATGCCACATTAAATGAAGAAAGATCTATAACTTTGGGGTACATTTATTACTTCAACATGTATTAGGAAAGTCATTGCTGTGTGTGCTGTAGTTTGTCTGTATTTATTGGGAACTTCTTCATTTGGAGGACATCATTTTACTGTTGATTTTATTAGCACTGTATAATTTTGTCTCTGTGTGTGTGTGTGTGTGTGTTAACAGTTCCAGGCGCAGTTCCCAGTCAGTCACTAAGAGCCACTCCATTTGAAGACAGAATCCTTCTTTACTGGAAGGAACCGAGTGAACCAAATGGAGTCATCATACAATATGAGGTACTATTACCTTAAGCAGTAGAAATAGTAATAGTTGTAGCAGCCTAACTATCACAATCTCAGTGGGGAAAATACTGTATATAAACCAGGATTCTGTCTCTCTGTCCCACCTCAGATCAGCTACAGTGGTGTGCGTTCATTTGACCCTTCAGTGCCTCTCCAGCGGCCGGGACTCACGGTGTCTCTGCCCTCAAACGCCACACATCACCTGTTTTCCCAGCTCCACCCCGGTGTCACGTACCAACTCTCTATACGCGCATCCACCTCCAAAGGGTTTGGACCCGCAACCACCCTCAATGTGACTACTAATATTTCAGGTAGAAAATACGTTTTAAAACATTTTTTTGTCACATATGTTTTTTCGGGATCTCATTTTAGCAAAGTGATACATGGACACTACTGTGCTCTTTCTTCAGCCCCGACAATAGATGAGTACGACGGGTCAGAGGCCTTCCTGAATGAAACGGCAACAACCATCACTGTCCTGCTCAAACCTGCCCAGGCCAAAGGAGCACCTATAAGGTAGACATGCATATTTACATACATGTACAGTATATACAGTATATACCCAAACCAGACTTACGTCACACCAGCCTGTATTTGGCTAGAGACTATTTTTCTTACTTTTAGCATGTATTGTATATTGTACATATGTAGTTCTTTCATTAATGTAAAGTAACCATTAAGCCATACAAAACAAAACAACATGAAGTACTTCTTTTTGCAAAGATATTTCTGTAAAATACAGAGGTTATCAAATAAGAGGTTGCTAAATGGTAATTAAATTAGCGAGGCCACATAAACATGACACATAACGACACAATCTGTTAAGAGTAGACCTAAGAAATATTTTGTTCATCATGACTTTATTAGTGACACTCATTTAATAACGTATTTATGTTGTTTCTTGTCTACAGTGCGTACCAGATTGTAGTTGAGGAAGTGAATCCTCAGCGGACTCGTCGTCAGGCTTCCTCTGACTGTTATGAGGTGATTATTAATTTGTTCTACATACGTTTACAAAGCCATGCCTTTACAACATATCAAATATACATGTATTTGTTTACAGCTGTACTTGTACTGAAGAGCTACGTTCCAAAAAAAGATTAATTTGTAGATATCCTCCATTTGACTCCGTAGACCATGGATCCAAGCTCTTATAAAGCAAACCTTTTATTTGCAGAAGAAAATATCCATTTTAACTGAAACTACATTATTTTTGTGAGCCAGATTTATAGACATATTATTTTCAAAGTAAATATATCCTCTTTCCCAGGTCCCAGTTTCCTACCACAGTGCATCTAGTGGTGGATCTCCATATTATTATGCCGCCCAGCTGTCCCCCAGCAACCTGCCTGAGCCGCTCCCCTTCACTGTGGGAGACAACAAGACATATCAGGTAAGCCTTTTTTATCTGAGTAACATATTCTGTACGTAGTGCAGCAAAAACGTATAGGCATGTGCACTTTACATCCAGAAAAATAGGTAACAGACAAGGGGCAATTAAGTTTGACATAACTTTAACAGTCCACTACTCGAGAGCCCACAGTGAACACATACAGTCAGAATCAGAATCAGAAAGCTTTGTTGCCCGGCAGAGACATCAGGATCTATATATGTCGGTGAGAGAGGGCAGTTGTGTGTTGGTGATGTTCTGAGCTGATCTAATAACTCTCTGTTGTGCCTTTTTGTCAGCCTCAGTGCAGCTTGTGAACCATACCAGAATGTTGTGAGAAAGGATACTTTCAACAGAACCTCTGTAAAAGGAAATCAGAAGCTTCTGACACAGGTTCACCTTCTTCAGTGCCTTTAGAAAATAGAGGCACTGCTGAGCCTTTTTCACAAGCGTGATAGTGTTAATAGTCCATTTGAGGTCCTCAGAGATTTGTATACCCAGGAATCTGAAGTTGCTAACTCGCTAAATATCCTTTGATGTATAGAGGAGCATATTCTTCTTCCTTCCTCCTAAAGTCAAATATCAGTTCTTTTGTTTTGGAGGGGTTGAGTACCAGGTTGTTAATGTGGCACCATGCAGTCAGTTTCTGGACTTCATCCCTGCAGGCAGACTCATCGCTGTTTTGTACGAGGCCCACCATAGTTGTATCGTCCGCAAATTTAATGAAGGTGTTATTGTTGTGGGTTGGTGTGCAGTCATAGGTGTATAGAGTGTTAAGCAGAGGATTCGGCACGCATCCCTGGGGGACTCCAATGCTGTGTCAGAAGCGGGGAGTGAAAGGACCCCATCGTGACTGACTGTGGATGGTTGGTTAGGAAGTCCATGATCCATCTGCATGTGTGCAGACTGACACCAGTTTCGACACCATTCTGCTGGGGATGATGGTATTAAACGCAGAGCATTCTCACATATGAGACGCGATGTTCTGCTGTGTGAAGAGCAGTGTTGATGGCATCTTCTGTTGACCTATTTGCTCTGTAAGCATATTGGTGTTGGTCCAGAGTGGGAGGGAGAGAGGATTTTATGTGTTTTAAGACAAGCTTCACAAAGCAATTTGTCACAGTAGAGGTAAGGGCCACAGGTCTTTAGTCATTTAGGCTCCTGATAGGTGTTTTCTTGGGTACTGGGACAATGGTGGCAGATTTAAAGCATTTAGGAACAGTGCATGTTGATAGAGATAGGTTAAAGATGTTTGTGAATACCTCTGCCAGCTGGTCTACACAGTCCCTAAGAACCATCACTGGTGTGCCGTTGGGGCCAGCCGCCTTCCTGGGATTCACACCACAGGGCACTCCTCTGACATCCTCTGTACATCCACCAAGGCTGAAAAGTCCAAATGTTTAGAAATGTCCAGTTTAAATCAGAATCCTGGTCTTCATTGAAATCTGGCGCATTTATCATGTGCTATATGAATGTGCCAGAGTTTTTTTATTTAAGCAAATGCAGTAATTCAAGAGAAAATGGGGAAAATGTACATACCGTACATGTCTATGCAGAAAGTTTCTGGATCCCCGATATGCACAAAAAACAGCACCAAAATAATCTCTTTCATGGTCTTGTCCTACCTTTCCATCTGATTGAATTAAAATCTGTCATTATTATTGAAACCAATAAGACAAAACTCATTCATTTTTAGCAGAATGAAATCAGTAGCTGACAATCTACGTATATTTAGGCTCATATAAAGTTGATAATCTTTTCATTTTAACCCCCAGGGTTTCTGGAATCCTCCACTGGCTCCAAGAAAGAACTATAACATCTACCTTCAAGCTGTGAGCAGCACAGAGAGGGTAAAGAAATATTTATTTATGAAAAGTAATCACACAGTGAACTTACACCTCTCACCTGCCAGCTGCTCTGAGTAAATATACTGTTTGTACACATTTAAAGAGACACACTAATTACTTTTGGTTGATGGTATAGTTTGCATAGGGTGTGTGGACTTGGGAGTCTAATTTTGTCTTTTCTTTTTTCAGGAAACTAAGACACAGTGTCTGAGGCTGGCTACTAAAGGTAAGACCTCACTGTTGATACCACTTTCTGTCAAAAATTAACTGGACAATCAGATGCAACTCAGGTGGTTAGAAACGTTTCCAGAATTTGGCCGCTGAGAAAACTAATTGCAGAATAATTTTTTGGATATCGTAATGATAGGACAGTAACTATATTTTATGTATTTTTGTGTCTCGTCGATTTTGCTTATCTTCTGTTGTTGAGTGGCTTATCATCCCTTAATGATTGTTGTTAATCTGATCTTTTATTATATTTCCTGTTGACTGATATTACAGATTGTTTTGATACAATATAACTGTGTTTACAATCTGGCCAGTCCCTTACTCCAATGTGAGAGCTCAAGTTCAGCGGAGAAGGGTATGTTCCTGGATTATGAGTATTTGTGGGGACAATATAATGTTGTGCATGTTGTGAGAGAGAAAAGACTTTCGTGTTATGTGATTGTGTGCACATTTAGTCCCTGTATGTGCACACAGTCTAAATGTCATGTTTTTACTTGCAGCCATATGTTAATAGATTATCAGACTGGTTTAAAATGGTGTGGAGTTAATCCCCATGCAACCACACATAAGTACATACACAGAAACACACACAAGTGCACACACACTGTTTTCAGGAAAGATTTTTTAAATGCTGCTGATGGATCAGAGTTTAGCTGTGTAGAGTAAGGGATAAATAGAAAAATACATGTTTTCAATGAAATTGAGGTGGTTGGTAGCGTTGCGCTTTAAGCAGTTAGGACATTGAAGTATTAATTTGTTTTTGTTATTCCGTATTTATTAATGCATAACTAGAAGGCTAACCGAGGTGAAAAGATGAATCAAAATAGAATATGCCTACTTTTTTACTAAAGCTGTAACTGCATCATGGTTATTTTCAGCCGGGGGCCTAATTTTCTTGTTCTTTAGATATGCTAGAGGTGTTGTGCAGTGTTAATGGTTAATGTTGGTGTGACAAAGAACAGTCAACTGGTGCTGAAAATAACAGTCATTTTCATCATCCATTCATCAGCTCATTATTTGATTAATCGATTAATTTTTTTGTTGTTAAAATGCCCAGCGCATTTTTTCACAGCTCGAGCTGACATATTTAAATTGTTCCTTTTCTCCAACAGAGCCCAAACATATTCAAATTACAAAAATAAAACAGGTAAACACAGCAAATGAGGAGCAGGAGTTAATTATCAATTATCAAAATAGTGGATAGAGGATATATTTTTTGCCAACCGACCAATCAATTAATCATCTAATCTTTTCAGCTCTACAGTCAGCAGTCATGAACAGACAGCAATAAATAAAGAATAAACAGGATATGTTTGTGGCTTTTTTCAAAAGTTGATTATATTCATGTTAATATAAGCATTTAATTTTAATATAAATACCATGGTCAAATCTTTTTTGTGTTGCCACATATCCACAATATAGAAGGTTAATGTCATATTTACAAAACATCCAATAAGGTGTGGTGAACACAGCATCTCAGTATTTGAATGTTGTACTTGCGAGCCTAGTTCTGTAGTTTTAATCCCTTTCTGTACTCAACAGATGGTCCTTGCTTTGACCTTCTAGTGCTAAAGGATCATAAAACTACACACTAAAAGTGACAAAGTCATCAGCACAAACAGCCATAATGAATTAATGATTATGGCTGTTTAAGTTGTGTTTTTTTATAATGACTCATCTAGGCACAGACACTGTAAGCTTCTTTAGGTGATAAATACTGTGGTATGTGTCCCTATAAAACAGAACGATAGATAAATTGAAATAAAATAATGGCTAAAAGTTGAAAAATTTAGTAGTTGAAATTATTGTATAAGTTGAGATATTTGCAGTTAATATAAAAGTGTGTGGCCCTTCCTTTGATTCACTTATTCACCTATTTTCGCTTTAGTTCACAGAGTTCAATGTGACCAAGATGTGTAAGCCAGTAAGCTCATAGGAAACTGATTCCATGTGATAGATCAAAGGTGTGAAATGCCTGTAAGGTGTCATGTTTTCACCTTAAAATAAGCAAAAATTGTGGAAAGTTCTTGTGTTTCCAGTTTCATCACATTTCAAGAATTGCTGGTGCTTGTAGTTACTAGAACAGTTGGTTAAGGAAAGAGATGACACTGTCTTTCTAGCCTGAGGAGGTCTGAGTGAAGATGAAAGACTTATTCTATTTTTTTTTAATAAGGCAGAAAGGCTCACTAATGGACAGAGAGGTCAGACGACTGTCCCTTCCTCGCTCGCTCTCTCCCGCCCTCTGCATGTGTGTGTGCACTCAGCCGTGCATCCAGGAGGGAGGATTAAGTGATGGTGGTCCCATTAGGTCATCTGGGGTATTGTGTATTGTCATTGCTGCCTCAGGGTATTTTGTGTGTGTTTGTGGCTGTGTGGGTAAGTTGTGAGTGTACTGACCTGGATAATTTTTTCAGACATTAAGAGCTACTGCCAATATTATGAGGTCAGACTTAGAACCTTTTAAAGATTGTTTTTCTTGTTTTGTTATGTCTTGTTTTGATACCCTTTGCCCATTGATTCCTGGTCATTGGAGAAAAAGAAGTAACTACAGTGTTGGTTTGTGCAATTAACCAAAAAGTCACGAGGAAATTTTCATACAGGCACAAATGCAAAATGATCTGGAGTCATAGAGTCACCCTTGTTTAACATAAAACAATAAATTGGTGGTTGTTTAATATCTGACCTACATTTGACCTAGAATTTGTTAACAGCACAAGTAACAGCAGCACGACGCAAACTGGATTTTTGAGGCTGATACCTCAATAATCATCAAAAATTATATGTCAGCCAATCTTATTTTTACAAACTTGTAATATAAAAAAAATATGTGGATGCCTTTAAATTTTTTAATTTATTAAACTTGTCACTGCTCTGTGGTGGACAAATAATGTAATGGAGACACTGTTTCTAAGTTACCTCATTACCATCCACCCATTAATCTATCGTCAACTGCTTATCCTGTGTACAGGGTTGCGGGGGGCTGCAGCCAATCCCAGCTGACATCGGGCGAAAGGCGTTACCTCATTACCTTTTTAGTATTTCTTTATTATAATTTATTTTCACTTATTAATCAACATATAAACCAAATATTTCAGCAATAAGCTTAATATTGGCCAATATACAGTGCAATAAAATTCAAATTAATTATTTAAAAATCATACAATGAGATTTTCTGGATTTTTGTTTTAGATTCCATCTCTCACAGTTGAAGTGTACCTATGATAAAAATTACAGACCACTACATGCTTTGTAAGTCGGAAAACCTGCAAAATATGGGTTTTGTTCTCCCCATTGTATCAGTCTAACTATAAGTAACTCCAGGTCATATATTCGGCAGCAAATATATATATATATATATATATATATATATATATTTTTTTTTTCTTAATAAAAAATCTTGGAAATTGTATTTATTTGTCTCCAGAAACATTATGGACATCAGAAGTTTTAATAATAATACTCATACTGAGTATTTTTAATACACTGTATAAATATAGTGTCAATAAGACATCCACCCATAGAAAGACTAAAACCAACAATGAATTGAACCTACTAAGTGTTTATTTTATGCCACATACAAACTATTAAAAACACATGAATGAATCGCATTGTTGCACAGGATGATATGCTACTGTATTACCATAAAGATGGGCACTGTGGTTTATTTTTAGTCTTTCCCACATTCACAGTTGTGCTGTTGAAAATACTCTGGACTAAATGTGCACTAAATGCGTATTAATCCGCAGCTGAAAATAGTCCCCAACAAATGCACAGTTTACTCCTGTTTGAGTGACGTTTGCTAAAAACTAGAGTGCTCAGCTGTTTTAGAAAATGATTTAGCCTTTAATAAAATAATATATTTGTAAAAGATTTACTGTAAGTGTTAGGGCTTAGGGCTGAGTGCCAGAACTGAGACAAACATTGTTGGGTTCGGTCTTTTCGTGGAATTTGCTGACAATAAGAAAGATATAGAATAACGCCAACCTTATCCTGTCAAAGCACTTATTTGGCTGATACATCACTGCTCATGTTTCATCTGTCAATCTGAGTCCTGTGTAATATTGTTACATAACTAGATGGTGCTAGATGGAGGCATTTCAAAGATTTCAGCGGCAGAAACATTTTATAACAAAATAATATGTTAAAGTCACAAATATTGGGGGAGATAAAGAGAGAGAGATTGGGAGATTATGTTTATCTTGTTGATGTTTGGTATTAGAGGTGGATTATTGTTTGATAAATGTATTGCATTATATTGAGTTTTGTGCATATATCTTTGTGTTGGATTATTTGGATTATCATAATGCATGATAATGTTCTTACGTTGCAGTACGAACTATTCTGGTGTTATGGGATCAGATCACTAAGCTCAGGAGCATGAAAACAGCTGCCTGCTCTTTCTGTTGACTTTCTGTCCATGATCAGCATGGTTGAATCCCCTCTCCAGCGCCCACTCTGCCTGAAACCTAATTTGGGAATTATATTCCAAACAGACGAAGTCAGGGAGTTAGACAATTATCTAATGTCACCAGGAACAGAAATTAGTTTGACTAAAAGTGATGTACTGTGACATTGGTGCATAAACATTGGACAGCTACAGTCAAATTGCATTTCCCAATGAGAGCATGATGAAGGATAACCTGAAATACACTGAAAAGACACAGTGCAAGACATTCAATTGAGCATTTTTTTATTTGTGAATTTCTAGTCAATGTGTGATCATTTTTTGTTTTTTTTGTGTGGTTGCAGCTTTTTTAGTAGTGCTTGTGCAGCGAGTTCACTGGTTCAGTACATTTACCGTCAGGTGATAAAACAAACTGAATGAGAAGCTGAAATCTGTGTAAGCGGAGTGTTTTCAGTTCAAATGAAACTCCTCTTGCAGATGGTACAGGGCAGGGATAAGCATTGCTTCCAGTGATTCTCAGTTACTGTCTTTTCACAGGATTTAATCTTTACAGTGTACAAGAAAATGTAAAATAGTTAAATTAACTCATTTCTAATGAATAGTGTTTTAGCCATGCTAACGTCATGGCTCTAGAGGTGGCAGTGTCAGTCAATTGGTTTACCAACAACCCTTACATTTAACCGCAGCTGTACTTTGTGATTTGTGATAAATAGCAAATGTAAGCATGCTAATATGCTAAATAAAGATGATGAACATGGTAAACATGTGGCATGTTAGTCACTTGTGATTGCCAACATTTTAGCATTGTGACGTTAGCATTTTTACCTCAAAGCTCTGCTGTGCGAAAGAGCCACTAGCATGGCTATAGACTTATAGGGTCCGTAGAGTCTTGTTTCTTTTTTGTGTTGCTAAAGCTATATCTATGTTATGCCCAGATATCTACTATAAAACACATACTCTAAAATGTTCAGAGCTGTTCAGTAGAATCGACTGTTGTGGGTAGAAGCAATCTCTTCGTTATTACATAGCAGTCATTTTAATGAAGATTGTACTGTTTATCTCAATACTTTAATCTGTGAGTGAAATTAGCATCTCAAACAAAACTTCTGGCTGTATTTGCATCATAAATGAGCAGTTACCATGACATTTATGTTGGCAGTTGTCTTGATATTTACCTGATCTTTAGTACAGGAATGATTAAACCATCCTATTTTAAAGAACATCAGAATATGTTTCTTTATCACACTCACCACTTCCCTGATATAAGGGCATTTTATAGAGACATCTTGAGAGAAAGCAAACACAATTCCTGAGGCTGTTGGGTGGCATACTTAGCCTTAGGTGACACAGGGTTGTGTGAATACTTCAAAATAGTGCCAAAATTCTATTACTTGTGTAACAGGCTTATAGTCAGTGTAAGAGAGCAACATTTTAGAAGCGTGGAGGTCTATACCACTGAAGATGCAGGGATCCTGCAAGGTTTACTTGGCTGGTGGTGGGTTTGATTTTATTTGACTGGTTTGCTGTCCCAGAAGATGTTTCAAAAACTGAAGGTTTGGGTACCTAGAAAACATCATCACTTTTCTTTGTACAATATCATGCAGCTCTTTTACAAATAAAAACACACTCTGTAGGAAACCCCAGATGGTAAAGCTCTTGAAGATAATTCCAACTGTTCAGTTTCATAACCTGCTGCTGAAGAAATACTTTTTGATTTTACAAAAACAAAATCTGCATCTTAGTAGTTGTATTGAAAGCTAGAGAAATGTAGCCTGTCAATTAAAAGAAATCTAATATACACATGTATTTTGCATATGGCTGAAAGCTTTTTTAATTGGTCGACAGTTTTCAAACAACAGTGGAAAACTGTAACAGTACAAAAAGGAATCTCAAACTTGCTTTTAGTAGTAGCAAAGGTTTTAGTAGTTTGGTGATTGAAATTTCATGTTACAGTGTGAAAGACGTTTGTTCTTGGGGTTTTTTCTTCTTCTTTTCTGCTGTCCAGCAAACATTAGCTCAAGGGGGGAAAAACTACTTTTCACATCCCTTATTAATTATATTCAATTGTTTCCCTAAGATTTTGAAGTCCTGCTGAGATGTCCCTTTAATGTCAGTTAGCAGCTTTCCACTGAAGATTTTACTTTTATTTTAATAATTAGGTCCATGGGTATGGTAGTTTTAGTGACGGTTTTCACTTTGCGTCCATCCATCCATCGTCAACCGCTTATCCTGCGTACAGGGTTGCCGGGGGCTGGAGCCAATCCCAGCTGACATTTGGCGAAAGGCGATACCTCATTACCTTTTTAGTATTTCTTTATTACAATTTATTTTCACTTATTGATCAACATATAAACCAGATATTTCAGCAATAAGCTGATAAAGTACATCAGTTTTTTAAAAAGGGGGATGCATGGAAAATTGCCCTTTCTTATGATTTCACTCCTAATACTACAAAAGAATCAGTAATTACTGTTGTATTCTAGTAAATAATTTTTTATATATATAGGGTCACAGTACTGATGTTGTTTTATTGTCATTATGTTATAGGTGCTACAGAAGAGCCAGAAGTCATCCCTGACCCCGCCAAGCAGACGGATCGGGTGGTGAAGATCGCTGGGATCAGTGCCGGTGTTCTCGTCTTTATACTGCTGGTGTTGGTAGCCATCCTATTGGTGAAGAAGAGGTGAGTAACAGTCAGCCTAACCACGTCCTCTAAAATGGCTTCAGTGAAGAGTTTCATGAAGAGTGCAAATACTATATGAAAAACAACACCAACACGCATGCAGATGCAAGAACACACAGACACAAATGTGCACCTAAATCCATTCTCTTGTTGTGTGTTGGTCCAGTATTTGCTGTAGTAACACCATCTTCCATCCATCCACCATAAACATTGATCTCCCTTCAGAACCAGCTCCTGAAGTTTGTTCTGTTTTTAAGGCAACAAATGGCTGAAGGCATGTTTTCCTGAGATATATTCGGAAATATGGCTTTTCCAAAATTAGAAACGTCTGCTTCACAGTTGTGTGATTTAGTGCAGGGGTTTTCAAAGTCTGAGATTGTGGGTCTCCCCTCAGACAAAGCTTGGGAAATAGCTTATATATAATAAAAAAAAAAAAATATATATATATATATATATATATATAAAAACCTAGAATATGGTATTGTAGAGATAAAGGGGAGACATAGATGACGGTCCATTGTGCATAATGTAGAAGGTGATTGAGGAAAAAGCTAAATGCTGGAAAGTGAAGGGTGGTTGGTTGGAGTTAAAGTTGAAAGTGTTGACAACAAAATTAATCTTTTTTTAAGCCTCTGTAGAGCACACATTGCCCCATGCACTTTATTTGCTTAGGTTCACACTAGAAAATACTTGAATGTAATGTTGTGTACTAGATTTCATACTTTAAAGTTGCTTAACAGGCATGATTAAGGCTTTTGTAGAAAATGTGAACATAGAGACTGAAATAATGATATTATTGTGTCTGTCTATATGTGCATCATACTTCACTTCTAGAAAAGCGTTTGAGAAGAGTCACAGTTGGTCCTGGTGTCACTATAACGTTTCAGCCTGTGATGTGTTACTTTAGGTCAGGGCTCCACCATGTGGTGGCTACACACAGCTACAACATGAGAATGCCGCTGCAGTTTTTAAGCAGTAGTGAGAAGATAACCCTTACATATGTCTGTAACATTTCCTTCAGACACCTGGTAAGCTTGTGCTATTGTCCTATTTCTGTAATGGGTTAGCATGGCTACTGTATGCCTATGAAGCATCACAAGTTGTTTTTGCCTCACCAAAAGTAATTTAATATATAGTGCTCCACAAACATGTTGTTTCGGGTTTATTATCATGACATCATGTAGTAAACCACTACAGTAATTAGCGTTGTTGTAGCATTACACTACCATATTCCTCGTCCTTTCTAGTAGGATATGAACATCATCAGACACTGAAGTAAAATAATACACAGAATATTGTTATTGTGTCTAACTATGACACACCGCAAGGCAGTTCACAGTGGCTTAACTGAACTGTGTTATCTAACCATGTCGAAAGTCTATGAAGCTGTTACAACCATCTTTGTGTTTTAATTTCGTCCCCCACCCTAACACTAATGAGTTTTTGTCTTACACATGACCCGCTCTCTTTTCATCAAATTTCTGAGTAACTGTAAGGTTACATGAGGTTCAATTATGTCTCCGGGTTTGTGTGTGCATATGTGCATGCACATTTTTAAGTCATGTACACGAGTGTATGTGTATAATAATTAAACATGTCATTCTTCCTGTGACCTTTCAATTAAAATCTGGTGTATCTGAGTACCTCATTAAAAAGAAAATAATTAGGACTTTAATTTGCATATTCAGGGAAGATACATTCATGAGAAGTGCATCAAATCACATCTTTTGCGATTATGATAGAAAGTATCAACATAAATAGCGTTGTTTGCTCATTGACCACATTACAAGAAATTTAACATTAATCATCTCCTCTGAACACTAAAGTATTGCATCTTGCCAGAGGCTTTAGAGAGTAACCAGGCAGTCTCTCAATACAACCAATCATGATCTCACTCAGCAAATCAAAAACAATTAGAGACAATAAATTACAGTCAGTAATGAACTCTTGTCACCGGAGAAGCTCCTGACCTCCATATTATTATTGTAATTCTCTGAATGAATGCATGTGATCCAGCGTTTGTGCTGTAGCTTTAGTGTGAAAGTGTAATCGTAAATGGTTATCAAAGGACATGAGCTTAAATGCAGGGGTAGAAATATTAGATTTATTGTAGAAGCCGTTGCTATCTTTTTGATACCCAGCATTCTTTGAAATATACTCACTATCGTCCAAAAACTTGACCGTGTTTGAGCTCTAGTTTGCACTCACTGGCCTGATTACTGTAAGATCTTATACTGAACATCATCTCTCCCCTGAGGATTTCAGGCCCTTTGATAATAGAAAATTGGTCCAAATTGAAAGATAATGCAGAGGCAACTGTTATTTACGACTCTGTAACTGCACACACAGCCTGGAGGAACTGAATTCACTGTCTGTTTTTGTTTTGAACTCTATGACTGCACTCATGCATTTGACTTGAAATGAGTGTTAGCACTAAGTCACTAAGCATTTAAGGTACTAGGATGACTGTGTTCCTGAAAAGCTAAACATCATATTAAAATGTTATATTTAGGTTGATTTCTGAGAGGTTGAAACTACATATTAACTACAATTCACAAAATGAACAGCTGAATAGGATTGTTATTAGTGGAAACAATTAATATTTCCAAGTAAGTATGTACTAAGTATGTTTCTAGGTATATACTTGTTAAATTTTTATTTATGTACAAGAACATATGATATTGTGTAGCAACCAACATCGGGTATACAAAATTGCATTTAAACTACTTAAAATGAGTCCTAAAAATCTGGTTTCAGTTATAATTTATATTTATTTTTAACTATGACATCATTTGTGTTGCGCTCTGAAAATAAATGTTCATTCTGGCATTTTTAAATTGGACTGTGACAACTGACTTAGCAGTAGCATTCTTGGAAACTGGCTTATCAATGATTATTTGTGATTTTATGTCACTCTCATGAGTAAACGGTTTTGTTGACAGCATTTAGTAGTTTTCCATAAAGGTTTCTGGGGAGATCAATCATCATTGTCATTGAACCTTTACAACTCTGAACAATACTGCATCTTTAAAATGGTGGGACATGATGACATGCAATGACATCATGCTTGCTTTACAGGAAGCGAGCTGCATCGTGTTACAGATCGGATAGCTTTGTATTAGTTTTGAAAAATTGTTTTCTACTATTAACTATTAACTATAACTATTCTTTGCACAAAGGAATGGTGATTGGCTGGTCAGGCCTAAACACCTCTAATCAGGGCTGTCCAGTTATAGAAAATGCAGCTTAAAAATAGTGCATGAATCTTTTAAATAAGACACTTCCAGAAACAAAGGAAAGACAGACTGCATGTTAGTAGTAGTAAAAATTATAGTTAGTTGGTAGTTTAATAGTAGCTTTATAAGTCTCTTAGCTTTTTTTGAAGTATTTATTTAGCATTAAACTTTTTACATTTTGAAAGAAATAGGGCCCATATTTTATTATTATTATTATTACACCCCCTTGCATGACCCTCAAGTTGTAGCAATCAAAAGGTGTTTTCTTCTGTTTCTGTTGTTGCTGGTTGGGACAGGACAGTATTGTCCTAATTTGCATATTCATGACCCTTGTGTCTCACTCTTTGCTTTCTGATTGGCTCACAACCCCAGGAGGACCTACTATTCATACTCTTATTACCTGTAAGTAAACAACCAATCAACAATCAGCTCACCCAGCTGCTGTTATCTTATTGGGCGATTTATTAGTGGCTAGTTGTTGTTATTTTTAAAGATGCAGTATACTTTTTTCAAGACAAAACACATTTTCAGCTCTGACCAACCAGCCAAAGTCATCCTCATTGACGCTTTGCCAGGGTGAGGGTCAATTCACTTTCATGTCAGTCAGGTCTTTAGTGAATTCCTTACATCCAACCATTTATATAAACATATTTAAATCCCTAGATATTGAAAATGTGTTTTTAGAGCAACATAATGTTGATGGTTTCCTGTCTAAAAATATAAATGCTGAATATTAGCAAATTTAGTGTCAGCTTCTATTAAAGGGACTGTGACAGTGAATTGACCTCAGCCGTGGTGTCCTCTACATGCTCCAAAGTTGCTCTGAAGCAGGCTTATAAAGGCCAAAGTTGGCCATAAACCACAACAAAGCAGGCCAGAGTGGGACGACACAGGCCTAAGCGTGTTATTTGAAAAAAGAATGCTGCACTTGTGACTTGTAGCTCTTTGTGTGCATGTAGTCATGTGATCATCCATCCGCCCATCAAGTCACAGGTATCATGGTAACTCTGCTACACATGCTCAGTGTCTCTTTCCTAGTTCCCGTCACAAAACAAGTCAGCTTCCTGTTTGGAGCACATGGGTCTGATTTTGGTAGTTCTTGGTGGGTTCTCTCGTGTTGTGGGTTCTCCCTTCTCTACTCTGTCTCTTATTGTCTCTCACTGGCTGTGACCAAAATGGATCCCTAATCACTTCCCTTAAAAAGTTTTATTTTTCAGTAACAAAATCATAGATAAATAAATATATATTTACATATATACAGTTACAGATCAATCATAAGTGTAAACCAAGGTGTTATTAGTTATGGATAGAGAAGTTATTTTGGTTTAATAAGATGGGCAGATGGGACCCTTTTCACTACTTTAGCACGAGGTCACCACCATTCTTTGTTTACCAGGAAGTAGCAGTTTTCCAAGACACTAATGAAAAGATAATTCAGCATCGGTTCAAAGACATTTTTCATAATAATATTCTCTTTTTGTCCTCATACAGACCATTTAATCTTTTTAACCATGTTTCACATTTATAAATTCATGTCATGGCATATTTTATCAAACCACTCTTAAAAGATATTACAGTAGATCTTATGAACACATGTTGAGCTCGAATTTTACCGTTAAAATTCAAGCCTTAAAAATTAATAAAAAATTAATAAAACTCAAATAGAGATCCATTCTAGTTCTGGTCAGATCCACATCCTTCTTTTTCTCTCGTACAGTACAAGTACACAGCATTTGGTGGTTTATAATATACATATATATTGCCTTGTCTTCTATTTTCATGTTTTCTGTTAGACAATCTGTTATACACTCACAAACAATCGCACAAACTGCTACACCTGGTCAGAAGTTAAATCAATGTTCCTACGGAGTGTGTGAGTGTTTGTGTGTGTGTATTATGTGTGGTGGAGTTGGAGTTGGTGTATTTTAGGGTCAACAGGTAAAATATACAAAAAAACACAGCATGCTTTCTGCCCGTTAACTTGGAACTAGTCAGAGCCGTACGTTGTATCAGTTATGCAACATTAAAAAATGTATTTCTTTTTGTATTTCATCAAACCTCTGAGAGAATATTATTCACATAATGTTGGCAATCAAACTGCTCTATATATGATGAACTAACTCAAAAAAGCAGGTAAATGTTTGTTGACCTGTACAGATGTTATCCTAACTGATGCACATCTATGGCTCTGAGTACAAAGTGTTCCTGCATGCTCTGTCATGCTCGAAGTATTAAGCCCCCTGCAGTTATTTGTCCCGGGATTTTATGGATTGCAAACAGAGAGTTAAACCTGAAAAGGAGACCTTGATGTTTAGATTTTAAACTGTTATTTTTCTTCACCTGGCATCAGTCTTATGATAAATAAAGGTTTCTGTTGCTTGCAACAAAAAAAGGCAATACCATTTAATTCCACTATAAAACAACAGCCTGTGAAGAAAAATAGGAGATTAAAAATTAAAATCAGGTATCTCTAAAATGTATCTTTCTGTATACCAGTTATCATAATTCTGGAGTGACATATATGAAATGACTTCAAGGCCTACTACTCATACTGATGATAACTATGGTACTTTGGTCGGTAAATGGTTTTCCCTGAGCTTCTATAGATCATAAGTCATTCCCTTACTGTTGTTTTAATGGGATTTTTCCTATCTTTGCTGTTGGATGAAAACCAAATATTTAATAATACTTTGGTCATTTTTCTTAAATTGTATTTCATTTCTCATAATGATGAAAGTAAGAATAAAAAAAGTTTTCATCTGACAGCCCATCTATGATTGATAACAGGTTTTCCCTTTGCTACTTGTAGGTTATAGGTCATTTTCCCTGGTCTGGATTAAATGCTATTTCCTATCTGCTCCTATAGCTGAGCCTGTTACATACAAGCCTTTCCTCCACCTCCCTTGCCTGTTCTATCCTCTTTCCCTCCTTTCTTTTTCTCTTCTCCACACCTATCTTCTTTTCTCACTGGTTCTACACTCTGCATCTTGAATCAGCAGCCTGTAGCCCCCAGCTGTGTGGCAAAAAAGACCTGATACCACCTTCTTCATACAAAATCATACTATACTTAAAAAATTGACACTATTCCTTACAAGGTGGTGGTCTGCAGGCTAGCTGATGCTTGTGTATTTGTTGATAAGGTGCCTGACTGTGTCTGTCTCTGCCCCTGACAGGAAACTGGCTAAAAAACGTAAAGACGCCATCGGAACAACGCGGCAGGAAATGACTCACATGGTGAATGCTATGGATCGCAGCTATGCTGACCAGAGCACTCTGCATGCAGAGGATCCTATGGCTGTGACTTTCATGGACTCTCACAACTACAACAACAGATGTAGGTTCATAATTAAACTTATGTTTAACCCTAAACAGCAGTATTAACCATGAACTATCTTTAAAACACAAAACCCTGTCAATAACTGAACTTTATCCTTTTCACACACACATCCACATATTTTCATCTTTCTTCTCTTCTCACTGACGAGATTTGAATTTTACAATTGCAAGGTTGCAACATTTATTTGCAGTAACAACTAGAGTTGCAATAAATTATTATTTTTATTATTGATTAATCTCCCGTTTTTGGTTAATCATTTTGTTTATAAAATGTAAAAAAAAAAAAATTTGAAATATGTCCACACTTTCTGAGTGTCTGAAGTGGCATCTTTAATTGTCTGATCTGATTTCTTAATTGTTCAGCTGTAGAAATAACTGAATAATCGACCAGCCTTATCAGTTTTACAGTTTTAAAATTGGAGAGAAAGAAAGGGTAGCTATACACAGCTTCCCTTGAGCATTTGAATTTTCCTGATGCTCACTGCTCTCTATTAGTCTTCATCTATGTTTGAATAACACTGACATTTAGAAATTTTCCTCACCGTGTTTCCTCCTGCAGTGCCCAACGATCCTCTGGTTCCCACTGCTGTGCTAGGTGAGACTTCTGGCATGGTTGGATATATATTTACCACCAGCTCCCTTTATCGATCACCCCTCATCTTCTCAAAGCCCCTCTGCTTGTAGCCTCGTCTTGGATGTCGTGCATCATTACATAGGTCCCAAATTTGTGTTGAAATATCTGACATAGTCAAAGTTCTCATTGCATCCTGCAGTGTTATGTACTTTGGCTTCTGCCATGTACTGTATGTTTGGTTGGGAGGATAGTTTGGCTTGATTGAAGTTCCGGTACCACGATGTTGTCTCTACATTTTAGAAGTGCTAGATGTGTAACAAAGGTCTCTAGTATTACCACAGATAGGAACCCATACATTCAACGAGCAGTGAACTGAAATTAACAAAATTTGAGAGAAATACAACAAAAATACAATAGATGTTGGTTAGGTTCAAAGGCAATCTAAAGTGTAATGGATTAGAATAGAGGACAGCAAATTTTTTTTTTGCCACCTAGTGCCAACTATCAGTGTAAAACATGGCCGGTACTAAAAACTCCAAAAGCCAAGCACTTCATCTGTTGTACTATACTGTTTTCCCTAAGTTCAGTCACTCCCAATCCCAGCCACGGTTTCTGTTTCCTATTGAGAGTTATTGATATTCACAGTAATTACCATCATTCTCCCTTAGAGACCTCATTATTTCTACAGTTTGGAGTTGTTTTAAGGTGTGCCATTTCCTGTCCCAAAAATGACAGAAACTGATGCTTGAAAGGAGGAAGATAATTTGTCACATTGAGACTGCAAAATGACTGCAGAATAAATATGTGACATCAAGTGACAGTGAAAAACTTAGTGCCTACAGCCATGAGTGTTCAGTGGAAGTTTTCCTATGTGCTGGATCTCAGAGACACTTGATTATCTACCACCCATGTTTTTCCCGTGTAGGCTTGTTTTGTTGCTGATACCCCAGTCTGAATCGTGAAAGCTGTAGTGTTTGCCAAGTTGGATGGTACTGCAGCTCCATCGTTGCACTGCAATGTGTTTATCTTTAGTTTAGTATAGTGTTGACATTGCTGCATGAGTTCTAAAATACCCTTAAGGGCTACACAATGCCACCAAACTGTGTTAATTAACTGTTCCATTGCCTCTAATCTGGAGTGAAGGCTGCAGTTACAATCTGTCTTGGCCAATCACATCACAGAGCTGGAAGAAGTAACAGGAAGTAGCAAATTAAGAGGCTGTGTCGGGTCAAGTTTACTGTTAATTGGCCTGACGAGGGGCTTTACAAACCTTTAACTATCAGTAATGAGCTAACATTTCCTCGGAGCAGAAAAAAGCATCAGTTGGATGAAATAAACAGTGTCAGTTAATAAACAGTAGTGAAGATGAAATCAGTCGGTTGTGTTGCAGCCCCAAGCTACTCTATTATACAACCTGTCAGTCTGTGCATTACTACTGCCAACTCACATTATCCCCCACAGCACAGAAACATTCACCTGGAACTTCTGCAGCAATTTGATCGCATAATTACGTGCAACTGAAATACTTTTTTAATGTACAAGCTTCCAAAATGCAGATTTAGTTATTATATCATAAATGTTGTCCTCACTATGTGAGTAGTAATAATTCAAGTTGCAGCCTATCTGCACTATATACATAGCAGGTGATTGCTCATCTGTGATTTAGATGGATTGTTTAATTCTCAAATTGTATAATAGGTGTATCAGGGTGTTGAAATATGTTCATGTGGTGAATTTGGTAAATATTAAATAAAACCGATACATATGGAAAGTGTAGAAAGCTTGGAATAGCACCATGAAATATACATGAAGCAGCAGTTACTGAAGAAAGTAATGGAGTTGTAAATAGCAGCAGATGATACCACTAGAGGGCATTGCAGTAGAGCTGTGTCTTTTATGTTGCTATAGGTGATGTTTTAGTAAAGTGGCAAAGTTCACATCATGTTCAACACATATGATATATTTGTTGTCTTCATTTTGTGGTAATGCTCCATTGTTTTGTGAGATCATCTGCTCTTTCTTTGTCTCATCCGTTATGTATAAACCTTTGAGGTCCTTGGAGATCGACCACAGTTGTCAAAGTAACCTATAGTTCATGTTACTAACAAAACTTCTAATCCTGCCGTTTGACTAAACCTTTATACTCTTTTCTTTTTCTGCTGCTTTGACACTTAGTTCCAATCACAGGTGAGTATAGACAAAGAAAAAGTAACCAATGGTATTTTTGGTTTGAAGAAAATGCAAAAGAAAATTTATGATAATAGTTTAAAGCCAGCATGTAGTACTGGTTTTGGGAAAACACAAATTATTGTTTTGGAACTCTTATATAGGTAAAAGTAATATTTTCTCTTCAAGCCAGTAATCAGTGAATGTACATTAGTTTACACTTCCTACTGTAACTTACAAATCCCTGGAATTTTTTTTATACTGCCTGATTCATCCTTCCGACTAGATAAAAAAAATAAAAATCAGTTTTTTATGTTTTTACAGTGGATGGCCCCTTTAGTGAAAACACTTGATACATGCAATGCAACTTTGGCTAATTTGCAATTGAATTGACCCGTACTTTCTTCTCTTCTTGTAGATGAGAACCACAGCGCCTCTGCAGCAGAGAACAGCAGGCTTCTGGATGTTCCTCGATATCACTGCGAAGGAACTGAATCTCCTTATCAGACAGGACAGCTCCACCCTGCCATCAGAGTGGCCGACCTTCTGCAGCACATCAACCTAATGAAAACATCTGACAGCTACGGCTTTAAGGAGGAATATGAAGTAAGATTATTATTAGCAGTGATTTTATTAGTAGTACTAGTAGCAATAACAGTAGTATTAGTACCCTGGTTGGTTACAGTAACAAAAGTGGCAGTGTATGTATTACTTGTAGAAGTGGTCATGTTAATGTTTTTAGAACTAGTGATACAAATGTTATTACCTTACATATAACCCTGACATGGATATTTATTTATTATGATCCTATTTTGGAAGAGTTGACTTTTTTAAAGAAATTTTAAAGAGGTGGTATTATGCTCATTTTCAGGTTCAAAATCTTGTACCAGAACAGGTTTACATGGTTTAATTTTCACACTTTTTTTTGTCATACTGCACATTGCTGCAGCTCCTCTTTTCACCCTTTGTTGAAGGCTTCATTTTAACTATGGAGTAATACATCTTGTCTCTAAATGATCTTTGTTGAGAGTTGCACATGCACAGTTCCTAGTTAAGGCCTAATAGCCAATCAGAAGCAGAGAAGGGTGGGTCTGTGAGAAGCAAACATGGCTTTGTTTCAGCTGTACATGTTGCCGACCATCTTGACTGGAGGAGGAGTTTCAGAGTGGTGAGTTATTGATCTGCAACAAATGTATCTTTCATCCATAAAGTTTTAACTGAGCTCTGTCTCTACATCACAGTAACAACTTTATGTCCATTGAGTATCTGGAGGGTAGCTAGTGTTTGGAAGGGAGAGGAGAGGTGTGTGCTGGAGCGCAGTGTTTTTCCACCAGTGTTTCTGAGGGCGTGTTGGAGTAGCCGCTTGGCGAGTTTTCTTCCCTGTGTTGTCACAGGGATGAAAGGGAAGCGGCTGGACTACAAATGAGCTGTTTTCAGGCAGCTCAGAGCAGTGTTTTCTGTGGGAGATGGGAACTCCCTTTGGGCTGGACTTTGGGCTTTTTCACTTTACAAACCTATTACATGCACAAAAAAGATATATAACTCAATAAAGGAGAGAGAAAAAGCCAAAAAGCATAATACCACCTCTTTAAATGTATTGTACACACATTTTATAAATGTAAAGGACAACTGTACAAGTTTTTTTTATAAAACATCAATGGTACTTTATTTGATGTTTTGGCTTTACATTAGAATGATAAAATAATAATAAGGTTGAATTGCCTCTTAATTTGAGAGTATTTTTCTCCTTATTGACAAAACAATCAAAGAGCTACAAATGTTTTTTATGGTCCCCCTTTCTTTTGTATCTAATAAGCATTATGCCACCACTCATGCAACCGTTGAATAAAGCCACTACAGCAAAAAAAATCATTCAACTACTTCTTTCTGCTCAGAGTTATCCAGCAGGAATGTCATTTTAAAGAATCTATGACGTGTAATTTTCTTCCCTATTGTTTTGTCTGTTGTTGGTGATACAGAGCTTCTTCGAGGGCCAGTCGGCCTCCTGGGACGTGGCCAAGAAGGAGCAGAACCGCACCAAGAACCGCTATGGGAACATTATAGCATGTAAGCAAACAAGCTTTATTTATGTATGTTCACAACAGATAGGAAAATACGATGGGGACAATGGGAAATACGGTGGTAGATAGAGAAAAAATACATACAATACATTTGGTTTTTAGAGATGTGTACTGATTTGGCTCTGTTGAGACTTTGCAAGAGGCTGTTACAGAGCGCTCTCACGTTTAGCTTCCAGCCTTTACCTGCGTATCTTCCCTGTCTACGATTATGTCCTTAGACTTACAAGATCAGAGTAAAATTTACTCAAATGATCTTAATCCACTGTCAGAGACATGAGAGTCTTAGTTATGTTGCATAGCTGCCTGAAAATGTTGGGACACGAGCATTTGTAATTGTATTTAAGTGTTGTCGCTTGTATATAATGTATATATAATTTAATTGGACCAAATGTTTTTATTTGTTCATGTACAGTTATTTCATATGTTTGTATTGAAATATTTATGTCAATAAACTAACTTACTGGTCATTTTTCAAGTATACATCGTTATAGCATGAACTAGTGACAAACGTATACCATGAAACTTTATGACCATCAACTTAAAGCCTTTAGAGAGCCTTGGAACCATAAACTCCACATTGTTCCCCCTAAACATACAAATATGTCTTTCTTTAGATGACCATTCAAGGGTTATTCTCCAGCCCATTGAAGATGACCCCTCCTCCGACTACATCAACGCCAACTACATCGATGTAAGTGGAAACGCATCGAATGCTACTATTGGCTCCCAACGAAACCAACGAAACCACACTCCCTCGCTCGTATGTCAGGCCTCTATACCTTTATTGCGTCTACCAGTCATCCATCGAACCATTATACGCATCCAGCCACCCCGAAAACACATCATACATTCAGCACATGTGTCTTTCTCAGGTGTCAGTTCTGCTGTCTTTCTCCATGTATTCGTGTATCTGTCCATTCTGAATATACCATGGTATCCTGATACAGCCAGTTTAAATTACAACTTAGTCTGTGTGCGTTACAACAATAGATATTTAGTCATCATTTGGATTTAGTAGGCCTTGCAGGGAATGCAAGCATTATTTATATATTGCTACGAGCTATACAAAGAGAGATGTTATTTCTGTATTATCTGACTTTCTACCACCTTCATGTCTGCATTATGACTATGCAGCTGCAGTAACTTCAGGAAGTTTTTATACAGATTAAACATATGAGATACGTGTTAATTAGTGAACTTTGGAGGTGCTGGTAGGCAGACTTTGTTACCGATAGACAAAATCAGCCTAGCTGTTTTCTCCTGTTGCAAGTTTTTACGCTAAGCTAAGCTAACCGGCTGCTGGGGCTAGCTTAGTATTTATTGTACAGACATGAGTGGCATCGATTTTCTCATCTAGCTCAAGGCAGGAAAGTGAATAAGAGTATTTCCTTTAAGTCAGTGCATCTAGTCTTAATTGCATTTATCTTTTAACTGGCCCATCCTTCCAGTCATCCATTTTATTTAAATTTTTGCTCAGTTGTTTGTCTGTACTTTCACTCAATAACACAATCTAAATACACATCCATCTTTTTCCATCTTCACCTTTTCACTTTTCTGTCACCTTTACAGCAATCACCTGCATGTTAGTCTCACACATTGTGCTTTTTTTAAACGCTAATACTGCTTATAGCATTTTCTATATTATCATTAACTGTCATTAAAACGATCCCATGCATGCTACCACTCACATTCAGCTAGAATTAGAATGAATAGAGTGGACACTCCCTGGTGTATCCAGCTAATCTCTGTTGGTACAGCTGTAGTTAGAAGAGAGACAAAGAAAGCTTGAATGTCAATAGCAATAAATATCTGTAATGCTTGTTAAATGAGATTGTAATCAATCAGCTTTCTGCTGGAGACCTCAATGTGCTTTGGCTGTAAAGTGGTCAAATTACATCAGGAAGTGTCCTTTCTTATTCAGTCTAATCCTAAATTTCAGATCATGTTTTTTTTCTGCATGTCCTGTTCAAACTTCCATTATGTGAATGCAACTTTTCTTTTTCTGATTGACACTCACTGACATTGTTGTGCTTTCTTTCTTCCACTCGTTCTTTCTGCCTGTGGCTTGGGCTATAGATTTGGCTGTACAGGGATGTAAGTATCGCTGTGGATTCTTTCATTCACGCCCCTCAACCTTTTACCCTTATTCGCCTGTACATCCATTCACACAGCCGCCATTAAATGCATCGAGTCATGTTGTCCATACATTTTGAAATGCTGAGGCCTCTGCTGCGTGAAAGATTTCACTCCATCTTGCCCTCCCGCCAGTCTTCCTTACATCCCACTGTGTGCTGTAAATTTGTCACCGCTTTTTACACCTTACAGTTGTCATAAAGGTGACAGGGCATTAATTTAGCCATCTATAGATTTTGGTAGGGCCTTACTTTGGGCTTAATAAACAAACAAAGAGTTCTCCCACATCCCATCACCTTGATGAGACTTTTTATGAATACACATAAAATGCATTGCAAGTCAACATCAAAAATGACAATTACATGTCAAAATATTTCTGTGAACTTTACTGTAAACTTCTTTGAGAAGAGATCTCCATTGTTTTTAGTGTCACAGGTACAAGCCAACAGATTAGTTTTGACAGTTGCACTGTGGACGTCTCCAACTGTGCTAAAAGACTTTTTTACGAAGTGATACCGTTTTTATGCATATTGAGTTGTTGTGTTATGTTGTCATGTTTTCAGGGCTACCAGAGACCAAGTCACTACATTGCTACTCAGGGTAAGAGACTGCAAGGCTGTCAAATGTATCCTACAGTACAAATTCATAACTTATGTTTCAAGCGCATTTTTTTACACAAAGCAATCATACAAAGTACTGAATATGTGTCTTTGCGTATCTGTGTGAAGGTCCTGTTCATGAGACAGTGTATGACTTCTGGAGGATGGTGTGGCAGGAACAGTCAGCCTGCATCGTCATGGTGACCAATCTGGTGGAAGTTGGAAGGGTAAGTTTTTTTTCCCCTCTCTTCGGTACTTTTATTGTATATTTTTAGTTTTTTAATTACGTTTTGCCTTGCAAAGTTTATTCAGGGCCTTTGACAAAAGAAACTGTGAATCAGAATTATGAAACACTTTGAAGTAGCTGTAACACGTGTGCTAGAAAGATATTCAAGCATTTTATTGTTTAATGGTGTTGTCATTTGAATTTGCGCTAATGGTAAAAATGTAGATCGGCTGAGTGGTTAAACAAAATGAATGGCCCAGCTCTGCTACAAGATTACATTATATTTTTTATATTGGATAAGAAGCTATATCTGCCTCTTGATCAAGGTCTTTGAACATGTTTTATCACAATAATACTATATTTGGTGAAATACTAATCTTAAAATAAAATTTTCCACAGGTTAAGTGCTATAAGTATTGGCCAGATGATGCCGAGGTGTACGGAGACTTCAAGGTGACTTTTGTGGAGGTCGAACCTCTTGCTGAATATGTGGTTCGCACATTTACACTGGAGAGGGTGAGTGATATTTTTTTAGCTTGAAATTTGCATAATGTCTGTCATTTTGCATTTATTTTGTGTTTAGCATAATTTACAGTATTTCAAAACATTTACATTTGTAATTCTAATTACCGATTAAACTAACGAGTTGAATCATACTCTGTGTATGACTCGTATTCAATGGAGGGAACATAAAATATGAACTAGACATGTACTATAATGAGTCCTAAACATGTCTTGTCTTTACTCAGCGTGGTTTCAACGAGGTGCGAGAAGTCAAGCAGTTCCATTTCACAGGCTGGCCTGATCACGGAGTTCCATATCACGCCACAGGACTACTTTCCTTCATCCGCAGAGTTAAAATCTCCAATCCACCTTCTGCTGGACCAATTGTGGTCCACTGCAGGTACAAACATACATGCAGACCTTTATATAATCTACCACATATGATTAATATGAACCCTTACGTCTGTAAGTCAAATAATTAAAAAAATGTCTTGTCATTTGAACCTGAATTGAAAAAACAATTCTGTTTCTCTCTGCAGTGCTGGAGCAGGGCGTACAGGCTGTTTCATAGTCATTGACATCATGTTGGACATGGCGGAGAGAGAAGGAGTGGTCGACATCTACAACTGTGTGAAGGCTCTTCGCTCCAGGAGGATCAACATGGTACAGACTGAGGTGACTGCATTACCCATCCTCCATCTGCATCCACATCTTAGAATATACTCAATAAAGAATAAACCCTCACTGTAAGACTCAGCCATCAGCATGGTGCAGGCTGAAGTGATTACATCGACCCATTCACCAACATGTCATCTCACTATATAAACACAATAACATATAATTTAATGTAATATATATGAAAGACACTTTTTCCCATGGATTTAAAAAATATTACTTTGGCGCCATCCAGTGGATTGGTTACCAAAACAAAACCGGAAATCACCACTCAAAACCCAAACCATGGAAAGCTCCATACATTCTTTCATGGACACTTTTTGTCCATGTTGTAATCATTATCATACTGTAGTAATTTCTATACTGTCTTTTAAAATTATAGAAATAAAATCTGTTGTACAATCCAGCAGGTCATGTCATCCATCAGATAACAAAGTACATTCACATCTATTCACCAAAGCAGCCTTCAATTCACTCTGTGTCTGTTCATTGAATTGAAGCTGCAGTCATTTGCTTGAAAGATCAAAAAAATACAATTTCCTGAAGTCAGGTAAACCAAAACTTGACAGTCATGATCTTCTCATCTTATTCGTCGCGCCATCTCCCATCCGTCATCCCTCACTCACAAAGTCAGCATGCTCGCTTTCAGTTTGTATCACAGTTGTGTGTGTTATCCGTGTCACAGGTTGTTGTGTCTTTTATCGTTTGCCAATGTTTTTATCTAGTATTGAAAGATGTGTATGTATATGGTGATGTGCATGTTTTGAATTATATGTCTTCAGGAGCAGTATATATTCATTCATGATGCCATACTAGAGGCTTGTCTATGTGGAGAAACAGCCATACCAGTCTGCGAGTTCAAAGCTGCGTTTTATGAGCTGATCCGTATCGACTCGCAGACCAACTCGTCACATCTGAAGGACGAGTTCCAGGTAAACCGAACTGTAATCTGGATCTTGAACCCTTAAAATGTCACTTTTCACGATGTTTATGTAGGAACTTCACAGTTTTTTTTCCGTCAAGAAGAACAGATGCTGCGAATTCATATCACTTACAATGCATTAACACAAAACAAATATCAAAATGTCTTAGTATACAGCATCTAAGCTGTAGATTTAGCAATATGTTGATAAATTGATCAGCTTCTCAATCTACTCCTGGCCTTTCTCAAATTCTCAACCCTAAAATTTATCCTTTAGTTGCAACCCAGAAGCAGCAGTCAGAAACAATTAAAAACAACGTTATCAGTACAACATGTATGTTTAAATAAAGACTTTTCTGTACAACTGAATTTAAAGTTTCTGTTTACATTTAACAATAATTACCAAAATGCACTGTGTGTACCTTTGAGGCCTGACAAAATGTGTTGAATGCATTGAATTACATAAATAGCATTTGTAGAGACACTTTTTAAGCATTTTAAATCCTGCATTTAATTGCTAACAATCTTCCTCATCTTTGCCTTTGCTGGCGCTTTTCTGTATGTTTTGGTTTGTTACTGCCACTAACTGTTGCATCAGTGGAATAGCATGACAAACAGCACAACCATGATACAAAGTAAAAACAGTGCTCCATAGTGCTACTAGCGGTCAAAAACTCCACCAGGTATCGTTAACGTACCAGCAACATTAGTTATGGGCACCTGTTTTTTTAGCACAGGATATATTTTGCATCCTGAATTTTGCACTGGAAAGTAGAGTGTTAACAACATAAAACTGTGCTTATGCACTAACTTATACTTCCCTCTCTTTGTCCAGACGTTAAACTCGGTGACTCCTCAGCCTCAGCCTGAAGACTGCAGTATTGCATTGTTGCCTAGAAACCAAGATAAGAACCGCTTTATGGATGGCCTTCCTCCTGATAGATGCCTTCCCTTCCTCATTACAATAGACGGAGAAAGCAGCAACTACATCAATGCTGCTCTGATGGATGTAAGTCTATAACACGCGCACATGCTTATACAGTAAGGTTGTGTTATTTTCAACACGTCAAGCTAGAGTAGTTTGGGACATTTCACACCGCGTGTGTTCTTTTTTGATGTGAAAATAGCCTTTTAGACTAGCAGATGTGTTGCTTTTAACACCATTAAATGTGAAAAAGTAAAAAAAAAAAAAAAAGGATAAATAATATATGTTTGTTGTCCCAAACTGCAATCACATATTTGTTGAAAATGATACACTTTTAAAAACTCACACAAATGACAATAAAGAGAAACACGTGTACATTCATATATTTATGCACATATGTTTATACAACAACACTCACACACATTCTCACACACACACACACACACACAGACTCCCCTCCCTGTTTGTGTGATGCTGTGTTTGTGGTTTTAGCAGCAGAAGGCTAGAGACAAATCCAGGTTCTGAAAAGACCACTAGCTTCTCTGGCCACCACCCAATCTTTAACAGCCTCATCGTTGCAGGACATTGTTTATATTGGCAACAGCTGACATTGTCTCAACATTTTGCCCATGTACTATGACTTCAAAAACAAAGTCATTAAGTAGGTAGACATTTAAGGTAAGATTGTGATATCTGGTCATTGTAAGACATAATTAGAATTTAATGTTTATTGGCAGGTCTGTTCTTATAGACATTATACATTAGAGATGAAAATATAATATGGCTGTGGGCTGTAGATACATTATGTGAGTTTATGATAATGGTTGAAACGCAAAATGTAATACATGCATGGTGTGGAAAGAAACCTGGCTTCTCTCCAACAAAAATACTGCAAGTGCTATAAAACTTATGGAATTCAGTCCAATTTTTAAAGTTTACCTTTCAAGTTTAGTTACTTACCTTTTGGCCTCTCTCTAACCAAGCTGTCAGAAGAGTTCCAGGTAACGGGATTTTACTTCAAATCTCCAATACTGGATTTGTTTCATGGCTTCAGTGTCGTTCTGCCTCCAGGCTTATGTTTAGCAAAGCCATTTACTCCCTAAACCCTAAACCTGACCCCGACCGTCCTCACGTTAGAGCCTCCTCGTCATTACAAGTCGCCAGAGTCATTCATATCCATGTCACACACGTGGCTGCGCATTTTCATGTAGGGTGAGTTGGGCTCAGTTCACTTTCAGTTCAGCCAGTTCATTGTGTCAGAAGAAAGTCTTTTTGGCGATTTTCTCTTTTATCTTCTGACTGACAAATTTGCCATTAGAGACATTTGTAATGTGAACTTAAATTGAACATCAAGTTAACTGACCCTATTAGATCTAGATGTAGCTGTAGTGTTTGTACATGCAATGCCTTCTCCTCACCGTCACAATTGATGAAGCCCCCTGCATGATCATGTGACCAAACATCACCTGTGTTGCTTGCTGTCCCACTCTGCTGTTTGTGTTTTGATGTGTGCGTATGTTTGAGAGAAAGAAAGAAAGATGTAATACAAAACAAGGATAAAGATATTTTGGGAACAAAACAGATCTGCAGAGATGAAGAATGTATATAAAAAGCAACACATTCTGCTTCATTATGCTGGACAAACCCCCCCCCCCCAAACAATTTATGTTTGTGGACGAAATGACACCACTGTGTGTATGAGAGACCTGACCTTCTTTTTGTTTGTTTCCTGCAGAGCTACAGGCAGCCTGCTGCATTCATCGTTACCCAGCATCCTTTGCCTAACACTGTCAAAGATTTTTGGCGTCTGGTTTACGACTACGGATGTACCAGTTTGGTGATGCTGAATGAGATTGACCTGGCTCAGGTACTTCACGTTTCTGTTGCCTTAGTATCTTAATCCTTTTATTATGTCAAAGATCTGTTGCTACTTTTTTGTTTCTGTGTGGATGATATTTTAGAGATATAAAGCTTTCATCCAACAACATCAATACAGCGATGTAACTTTTAATAACTTTATTATACTGTAAACATAAACCTACTCCATACCCGTATACATGGACACAAATACACTTGCATTATAAGCAATAAAGGGAGGAAATCAAACCCTCATGTCTGATATATAATTGTCGTCTGGAAAGTATCATCCTTTATTATTGACAAAATTCTTACTGGATTGTATGTTTTAATGTTTACACTGAGCCATTCTTAAAGCTGTGAGGTATAAACTCTTGCACACCACACTGGAATTATTTCTATGGTCAGCTGTATCAAATAAAAATCCAATTAATTAGGAACCTTTTATCATGCTGAAGAAGATAATCCCGTCCAGCACTATTTGTATTAAAAGGCTAATATTGCCTTAAAATGTCGTTCTTGCCTCAACAACAACTTCATACCAAAGTCAGCGTATATGAACAGAATAGAATACAACTTTAGTATATACATGAGTAGAAAGTTGTCATTTGCTCAAGCATGCCTAAAATAGGCATAAATCATATAATCTTACTATAGAAGTAATAGTAGGAGTGTTTAAAGCTTTACATTTTGCATTTCTCTATGTACTGTTTCCAAATACTGTTACTGTTTCCTGCCAGGGTTGTCCCCAGTACTGGCCAGAGGAGGGCATGTTGCGTTATGGTCCTGTCCAGGTGGAATGTATGTCCTGCTCAATGGATTGTGATGTTATCAGTAGACTCTTCAGAGTCTGCAACCTCACCAGGGTGAGTCGATTCATTTTGCGTATTTCTTTTGGCAGAGGGTCAAGACAAGACTCTTGTTTCACAGAATCCATTCCTCTAAATGTGTGTGTTTGTTGTTTGACCTCTCAGCCTCAGGAAGGCTACCTGATGGTTCGTCAGTTCCAGTACCTGGGGTGGGCGGGACATAGAGAAGTCCCCGCCTCCAAACGCTCCTTCCTCAAACTGATCCTGCAGGTCGACCAGTGGCAGCGCGAGGGAGAGGAAGGAGAGGGAAGAACCATCGTGCACTGCCTGTGAGTACACAACAGAAATGCATATTTGTATCTCCCTCTTCCATTTAGCAAGAGTGTGTTAAAAAAAAATTGGCAGCTTTGTAAGCAACAAAAGAGCATTCTGTTGACTGAAAGTGGGAAAAATTAAGTGAAGATGAAAAGAATATAAAAAAGGTTGCCAAATGTGCCTAACATGTTTGTTTAGACTGAATCTAGCAATGGTCTAATAAGGACTGACAGTATATCTCTTGAGGAATGGTAGTTAGTACCATTTACCTTGGCAGCATTTGGGGATTATTATAAAAAGTGTCACTGAAACTCACTCAGAGTGACACTTAACTTTTACCAGAAGGTCTTTTTTATCTGATGACGCACAAATTTTACAGACAAGTAGGATGAATTGTTCCAAAATCAGTGCCATCAACACTGTGAGAGGTGTCAAAACTACAAAGAAATATTAAATTGTGAATTTTCTCACATATTTCTGTATCATTGTCCGGATTTTTACAGAAATGGAGGTGGGCGTAGCGGAGTTTTCTGTGCCAGCAGCATCGTGTGCGAGATGGCCAAGAGACAGAGTGTGGTTGATGTCTTTCACGCCGTAAAGACCTTGAGGAACAGCAAACCCAACATGGTGGATACTCCGGTGAGTTAGAGAGAACGAGAGACAAAGAGAGTGAGAGTAACAGAGAGAGATGAGAACCTAAAAGTTTGGTTTGGTGTATTGACAACATTTAAAGTATATATATATAAACATGTTTCAACCAGTCGTTATATAGAAGGAGACTGGCATTGAATGTCGGACATTAAGATATACTGTATATTAGAAAATAAGTACAAAAAGCTGTGAAACAACAAGAAGTTGAAGTTTATTATCTCCACATTCTATGAGGGAGTACTATCTAGCAGCCAGTGTTTAGTCCTTGCTTTAAAGAGTGGAGGATTTGACTCTTAATTAAAAAAGGTAGTTTATTCCTCTCTATTGCACCAGCCTGCAACACTGGCTCTGATGTTATGGCTGTTGACATCCCCCACATTCTTAAAATAATTATAAAAGTAGCTAGGAGCACTGCCATTTAAAATCCTATAAACAATATTTAATTAAATATTCATATTTTATTTGAAACTTCATAATTAAGTATAAAGTGATGTATGAAAGTTGTTTTACATGATTATGAATGAAAATGGCTCAAGTTAAAACAGAAAAGAAAGAATTTATAATTCATCTGCTCTGATTTGTGGCGATATTTGCAAAGTAAAGCCAAAATGTCACCACCCACATATTAATTTCAGTTTACGCTTCTTTTTGTCTGTCTACAGGAACAGTATCGGTTCTGCTACGACCTGTCACTGGAGTTCATCGAGTCCTCCTAAACAAAGGAGAGAAGAGGAGGAGGTGAACATCTTTTCACTTCCCGTGTGTTTGATCCTTTTGCTTTTCGCCTGGTCCCGACTCCCCTCTGTGGTGGCCGTCCTGTAGCACCCATTTTGCGTCAGTACAAATGGCACAAGTGAAATTGGCTCCTTGCACAGTGTTGTAAAGCATCCAAATAAAGGGAAGAGTTCAGACTTTTAACAGAAGGAGCTGCTGGGAGTGCAACAGAGGGAGAGATGTTGCTCCTTATACTCCTTTACGCTTATTGTACAGCTTTTTGAGTGCCAGCGGGCCCCTGTATGTTTTGGACCCCATTTAAATGTTTAATGTCTCACCACAACCCCTCGCCCCCACCCTTCCCCTCCCCTCCCATGGACTTTTCATCTGCAGTACTCAATGTGCACTGTAGATGTCTCCCTCCTCCCTTGCAAGCGGCAAACACAGCTTTCGAATAACTGCAAGTTTTCAGTGGCCCCACATTCCTGCTCTCATGCTAATTTCTGAGTAACTTAACAGTGTTGGTTGGATATCTCATCATGGTGATGTTTGAATATTTGAGCCAGTACTTTTGTACAAAAACAAGATACTTAAAGTTACAGCCTGGCCAAACTCTGTGAATGCTTCTGTTTTCTACTTCATACATCAGCAGCATCTTCATGTTACTTTTCTGGTCATTTCAGTCAGTTAAGTGCTTAATTGCCCCTTTGAACCCATTTTATATTGGTGGATTGTCAGACAACAGAATACATAAACAGAAATTAAAATATAAGTTTGCCAATTAGACAAAGCACCATTTAAGAAAGACTGACAATGAAACGAAAACAGAAAGTTTACACAGGGAGTATTAAGCTTTTAGATTTTTTTTTTTATGATATCATGAAGTGGCAACTTGAAAAATGTGTAGGATTATCACTCAAATGTATACGTTGAAAGAAAAGTGATACATGTAATTGTTTATGTTTTCTGCAGCCATTATCAGCTGCTGAGTGGTTTCTTTCCGACTGCTTTTGTTGCGGCATTTACTGATTTACCGGACAAAAATTTTGAAGTCTCCTTTGTACCCTAAATTGTAAAAGAAAAAAAATTTAACACTTGAGATTTTGTTCAACCATGTAACATTAGCATAATCGTGTTTGTTTCAGGGCTGGGCCCAATGCACTTTCAATTCTGCCAATACACAAATGGGATATTTTATCTCAAAACTCAAATATGAATAGAGATTTGGCTCATTTACTCATTTAAAGGCTGAGAGTAGATCCTCTTCAATGAACAGGTGACGGTTTTCATTTATGGCTTGAATGGAATTGGAAGTGAACTGACCCCAGGCCTCATTTGTTCTGTGCACTGGTGGCCAACACTTTTTTGTTTGTTTGTTTTTATTATTATTTTGTAGCTGATGTTTATTCATAAGCCAAAGACTTTGTGTAAATATGTCTATATGGATAAAGCACATTGTTTGTATTTATTGTTTGTTTACTTGCATTGCTTGTAAGAACAATCATTCTTCATTCCACGTTTACTCTACCACCAGCGTTTCTTAAACTCAGGGGTCGGGACACAGAATGGGCTGCAAGTCTCTTTCCTCTGGAGTACTGAGAGTAGTAGTATGACCTAATGAGCCCACAGTGGGTCCAGAGGTAAGAGGCTCCATCTGCTCAATTTGGATCCATGAAGAAAAGTTTAAGAACCCCTGATAGAAGCTGTATATTAAAGCATTAGATGTAGTTTTTCAGTATTTAGGTGGAATTCAGTAGTATTGTCTTGTTTTCACTTAATGAAACTCTCTGTGATGTTACTGTGGTTTATTTGTGTAAAAGCCCCATTGCTCTGTTTGTGGTCAGTAGAACATCAGTGCATTTTTATGCACAGAGTATTTTGGATAATAGCTCCTATCCCTCTTAACGTCTTAGTTGGGATAAGCTGTTTATCTTCATCCTGCTCACCATTATCCCAGAATACGCACGGACTCAGTGATGCAAACGGGCTTAGTGAGTGAAACACGCAGGACTGTGAAACAAAAAACATTTAATGTGCCTAATCATTTGAATTTCCTTGCATTTTAACAGCATCTTTGACCGCAAATCAGGGCTTTATTGAATGCGTTCTCATGGACGATCAAAGGTTTGAATACCTTTTGGTCCATGATTCAACATGTTTTATTAATCAGAATGCTTCATGAATTCTTTGTGAGGCTTTACAGGCTTGCCGAACATCAGATGTGTTTCTGTTGTGCACAAACTGATTCAGAAAAAAATTAAAACAACTTTAATGTAAATAAAATAAAAAATAGTAGCCCAGGTCTACCATTAAGGATGTTATTGTAAATAGACTATCATGAGTACTCTAAAAGGCTCTATTGTAGAGATTCAGATGATGGATGCAATGTCAGAACATTAGTTCTGTTGTAGATAAAAAAACAAAGTCAGAGATTTGTACTCCTGGGGGATTCGGCTTCAAATTCTGACAGATGTTGTTTAAAAAGCATTATAGTTTCCACTGAATACAGAACTGTATTCTGTTGGTGGAAAATTAAGTTTCTTTTTTTTTCTCTGGATTTCTGGTCTGACCCTAAGACGGGAGAGAAAATTCAGAGGCTGTAACGCTATGATAATACAGCTGTATATCTTCGTTGATGGTGGGGTTTACCAGTTGGACAAAACTGTAGGCCATCTCTATAGCATGCAAAGAGAGAAAGATGAAGCAGTCAATGATAAGGGTGTTAAGAATGTTACCTAGACACATTAAGGGAACACTAAGGAGCAAATCCTGGTAAAATGCCCATAATTCCTCCTTCATAAATCTGAAGTAATGGCTACCCTAAAGAGTAGTGAATGAAGCAGGGATCTGGATGAGAGGCCATTCTGATTATAGAATTGATATTCATGGTTCATAATTATTCTTGTCTGTAATGTTTGGCTTCTTTGCTGTAATAAAGACCACTTCTTTAATTAAAACTGGTGGGTGTGTCCTGTTGTTAGCTTACAATTAAGAGGATGCTAAGTTAAAAAAAGACAGATGTTGGATGAAGTAGTTTCTGATATCTTCAACCAAAGTGTTCTGGACTATTAATGATATTCACACTATTACCCTTACACCCGGGCAGCACCCCCCACAGCATCTTTAGTTTACTTGGTTATTTTCGCTCAATTCCTGGATGCCTATGGGATCATGGGTATATCATTTGATCCTCAACATTTGAACCAAAATAGCCTAAAATTGCTGTTTGCATAACTTCTGACTACACCAAATTGTTTAAAAAAAGGTCTGTCCTAAGGCATTTATTAGTTTCTGACTCTGAGGGGAAAATAGTTCCCAAAAACTACTCTATCTCTGAACTCTCACACACGTAGCCTATTCTATGTGATCTCATTTTGATAACTAATGCAATAAGTAATGTAATATTGTTTCACTTCCATGCTCAGTGAATAACAAGCATATTGAGGTTGTAGTTAATCTAGTAGTTGTTATTATCATAACAAAAAACTATATACATAAATGTTATTTTTCTAAATCCCCATCATTGTGTAATGCACAAAAAATACATTTTCTCTACTTAATAAATTTATAAAAAATGGTGCCCATGCCAGGAATCTCTATATACTTATGTCTGTATATGATTTACTCTAGCCCCTTGCTCATTATTTATTTTTATTTGATTATCATATGAATGGCTCAAGATTCTCTGCTCATGTATTTCTTTTATGTTATTATACTAACTTTTTTATTTTCAACAACATCTATTTTGTTGTTACTTCATATGGGTAATCAAATTTACCCTGTGTATAAACTAAAAACATCCTTTCTTAGGAGGTGTGATTCAGTATAGAAAGGACACCTTACTTGAATTGGACAGCATAGTTTATCACTGTAGGCTACTTATCTTGTGTGCATTATAAAAAAAGCAAGTGTAAGTGCAGTCAGATTCTCTTAGCACCGTGGTTGAAAAAGTGTTTAGCAAAATTCTCTGTTTGACTATTCGACCGCAGCTTTGCGCTTATTAGTTCATACAGTTTGATGACATCACATAATTGTCAGCTCAACCTCAATCTAATTAGGCAGACAAAGTCGAAAACACCTGGTTGGGTGTACAGGCCCCCGCACCTGTATGTTGAAAGCATTCTAGCACTGAGACTTGTTGTGTCATGACGTTTTAAGTCCTCAATAGCACCTTTCAACTGCGGAAAGTAAAAAACAAAAATCAAATAAAGTCAGTAGCTGTGGCAATAATCATGTGAATTGAAGTGCCATCTGTTTAGTAGTTGGGACAGCCTTCTCCTCTGGTCTGCTTGAGCGCAACAACTTGTTGTTCTACTTTTGCAGCAGACATCGCTGCTTGTCATAGCAGGAAAACACAGGTGCAACCAATAAAATTAACAATGGCTAAAGTTCCACTGAAGTGTCCTTCACCAGTGTCATTGTAACTGGCATAACCAATATGACATGTCATTAGTGTCATTAATCACACCTGTGCTTTTCATGCTAGTACACAAAATATCTGCCATGAAAGGTAACTGGTGGGCAGAGCTGTTACGCCAGCACAACTGGGAATACCTGTTCCCAGTGTTCCTCAAGCGCTTTAAGAAGGTCCACATCAGACTCCTCAGAGAGGATCTCTTCATGAACTGTGTTTGTGTTTACTTATTATTTTCCTTCTAACATTCTGTTTTGTTTTTGCAGTGTAGTTCATGTTTATTAGATAAAACACTACATGTAAACATATATTCGGTGCCTCTGCACTTTTCGCCACAGGCTGGGTCTCAGGTGGCACGCACAGGTGTTACAAATAACATTAACGATGTCACCATTCTAGTGAAGTCTCCTAGTAAGCCACTACAGTGAGCCAGCATGCCAATACCAAGACCTCTGAAACTGAAGAAGGGACACTAAGCAGTCCAGAGGGACATAATATATACAAGTTTTCACTTACTAAATGCTCCAACTACTTCAATATTAAAGTGGTCATATTATGCTAATTTCCAGGTTCAAAATCTGTAACAAATGTATCTTTCATCCATTAAGTTTTAACTGAGCTCTGTCTCTACATCACAGTAACAACTTTATGTCCATTGACTGCCTGTAGGGTAGCTAGTGTTTGGAAGGGAGAGGAGAGGCACGGACATCTTGTGACTGTGTGCTGCACCTCAGAGTGTTTTTCCACTGGTGTTTTTGAGGGTGTCGGAGTAGCTGATAGGCGAGCATTATGACGCGCATTTTGCTGTGTTGTCACAGGGATGAAAGGGAAATGGCTGGACTGCAAACAAGCTGTTTTCAAGCAGTTCAGAGCAGTGTTTTCTGTGGGAGATGTGAACTCCCTTTCTGCTGGACTTTGGGCTTTTTCACTTTGCAAACCTATTACATGCACAAAAAGGTGTATAACTCATTAAAGGAGAGGGAAAAGCCAAAAAGCATAATATGACCTCTTTAACTAATAGATAACTTAATTTATGTAATACTCACAGTTGTAACTGAGAGTGAATATTATAAGAAGCTTCACTTCGTTTGCCCCTGAGCAAGTGTTTTTCCATGTATTATAACATAGACGTGCATAGAGGATAAACAGCACTTAATTTGGGGTTTAGTAATTCCACATAAATAACCCTGCTTTTGAGATAAAATCCCACATGACTTGTCTGCTTTGTGGTACAGCTGCATCACCGAACCATTGCCAAACTCTCAGAAGAATGAAAGCGCTCTCTCTCAACCATGCTGTTTTCTTCAAAAAGTTTAATTTGCATAATTATTTACAACAGATGATTGATAGCAGTACTTAGAAGAGGCAAAATATACTGAACCACATTGATAAAGCAGGAAAATAATATAAATGATATAAATTGTTGAAACCATTTCAAAACCTTGCATTTAGAAAAGAAAGTTTACAATTCATTTATAGATAAATCTAGAAATGATATATTCAGCTTAAATTAATTTTACAAACACAAATTGACCTGTAGAATGCTGTAATACTGAGCAGCAATGAAACACTAAATAATACATTCATTTTCACTATCCTGCATGCTATCTGAAGATCTTATAAAATAATGTTGACAAAGGAATGTTAAACAACAAAAACATGGTCAAGAGCGGAAAATAGTTCCATTTAAATTAGGCATATATTATATATTATATATGTATATTTCTGTACAAATACTGAATATTTGGCATTATATTTATCCTCATTATTGATATAACTAACGATTCAAAATAGTTTTAAGCTAACCACAAACCTTTTATGCTATCAAATTTTTCTCATGTCCTATTCAAAAACCCTTAAGAGGCCTTCTGTTATTTCTACCCACAGCCACGACACAAGACGTTTCTCCACCAAAGGCAAACAAACTTGTGACTGCTCTCTCCCCTCATAAAACACTTAATCATAAATAACAGCACAGATATAGAAACCTCCCAAGTTATAGTAGTGGACACCACATGCCTGAATATTCTGATTGAATTGTGATCGCTTGTCCAAGAATTGGTGCAGAGACGAGCGGTGGTGTAAAATGGTCGCCTACAACTATCCTTCAGAGGCAATGTAGACTGATTCACATTGATTCAGGCCCATAACATGATTTAAAAATGAAATAAGTCATAAAATCAACCTAAATAAAAAGAAGACTTAACAGCAATGAGGTATGAGAAAATGTTACATATAAGCATGTTGGGAAATACACTTATTCGCTTTCTTGGAGAGATGAAACTATCTAAATCCCTTTCACAGTCTGTACCATAAATATGAAGCTGCAGCCAGGAGAGGGTTAGCTTAGGATAGCATAAAGACAGGAAACATGGAAACAGCTAGCCAACAGTCAGAAAGTAAGCCTAATAGCATCTCTAAAGCTCCCCAATTAAGACGTTATATCTTGTTTGTTTATTCCATACAAAAATCTAAGTGTAAAAATGAAAATTTGCAGTTATATGCTGGTTTATTCATTAGCCTTTATGGCAGACTAGCTGTTTCCCCTGTTTTAAGTCGATATGACTTAGCTAAGCTAACCATCTCTTAGCTGTAGCTTCATATTTAACGGGACAGGGGGAAACAGGTAGTCACTGTGTCTGGTGAAGAAACCAGTTTATAACCCACATAAAATCCCCCATAAAACCACAATTTGGTGTTTTTACACTTTTATTTTTGTAGGGATTAAACAGATATCTTAATTGCTGAGCTTTAGATGTGTTTTAGGCAGATTTTGTAACTGTTTCCTCAGCGGTAAAATTCTAAAGCCAGACATTAACTGATAACAGTTAACTGCTAGTTTCTTGGTCAGGTGAACAGAATATTTTTAATATGGCCAGAAACCAGCAGGTTTTCATTTCACACAAAGAAGGTAAGCTATAATGAGTTAATAAGTGGGCTTTAGAGGTGCTTTTAGCTGGACGCTGTTACCTTTCGAGAGAGCCAAGCTAGTTGTTTCCCCTGGTTTGCAGTCTTTATCCTAAGCTACGCTAGTCGGCTGCTGGCTGTGGCTTCATATTTAGCGTAAAAAAAAGCAAATATGCATATTTTCCAAAATGTCAAGCTGTTACTTCAAGCAGCTCAACAACCACCTAAACCTTACTATAACCTCCTTCAGATTTAGGTTGGTCAGAAGGCTAAAGATCTGTATGGAAAGCTAACCAAAACATGTAAATTAGGCTTATTGCTTGAGGAGCAGATCACTCTCATACAGCCCAGCATAAAGGCAAGCATGACATCAAAAGCATTTGTACATGATTACTCACTTGATTGGTCTTTGGCCTCTGACAACAGGTGAAACTCTCATCTATGTCATCAAAAGTCACATGATTTATGGGAAGAGAGAGCAAGCAATAGAAAGATATCTTTGCAGTGCAACTGTATCAGAAACAAGGAGAAAAGCTTTCAATGATTTATAGAATGGAGCCTCACTTGAAAAGACCGCGAAGAGATCCACAAGATACGTATAAGAGAAACTCAGGGCTCTATCTTGAGGATATACAA